AAGCCTTCACCCAGACCAGCCACCTGAAGCGGCACATGCTGCTGCACACCGACATCAAGCCCTACAGCTGCCGCTTTTGCGGCCGGGGCTTCGCCTACCCCAGCGAGCTGAAGGCACACGAGGTGAAGCACGAGAGCGGGCGCTGTCATGTGTGCGTGGAGTGTGGGCTGGACTTCTCCACGCTCACCCAGCTGAAGCGGCACCTGGCCACACACCAGGGCCCCACGCTCTACCAGTGCCTGGAGTGCAGCAAGTCCTTCCACTACCGCAGCCAGCTGCAGAACCACATGCTGAAGCACCAGAACGTCCGGCCCTTCGTCTGCACCGAGTGTGGGATGGAGTTCAGCCAGATCCACCACCTCAAGCAGCACTCGCTCACGCACAAGGTAGGGGCTGTGGGTCCCCAGGGGCAGTGCCCTCATCCTGCTCAGAGGAGGTGCACCAGCTCTGGATGTGGGTGCTGGGGGAGAGGGGTGTCCCACTGGGCCCCAGCTGTGGGAGGGACGGGTGGGGTGGGCAGCAGGTGCCCATGGTGGCGTCACTGACATGTAGTGAGGGTATCTCTGGGACCCAGTCTCTGTCCTTCTGGGTGTTCCCCTTCTCAGGGACAGAGTTTCACAGCGCTTCTGGGTGGGCTCTGAGTAGGGGTTTGCCCTTTTCCAGGGGTTCTTTCATGGGGAGCAATTGGGCTGAGCCACAGAGCAGAGCTGAGCCTGTCCAGCCCTCACCCACTGCCTTTGCACACTGCCTGACTTAGGCTGGGCCAGCCTCTCACATGCACCCCATGCTGGTCTCAGCACATGGAGCCCATCCCTCGCCCGTGGGGCCCCTGCTCTATCCCAGCACTGGGGGTCTGTCCAAGCCCCCACTACCCCTTGCCCACTGCTCTCCCACCCCGGCAGGGTGTGAAGGAGTTCAAGTGCGAGGTGTGTGGGCGGGAGTTCACGCTCCAGGCCAACATGAAGCGGCACATGCTGATCCACACCAGCGTCCGCCCCTACCAGTGCCACATCTGCTTTAAGACTTTTGTGCAGAAGCAAACTCTCAAGACCCACATGATCGTGCACTCACCTGTGAAGCCATTCAAGTGCAAGGTACCAGTGGGACCAGGGGGCTGGTGGAGCCAGGGAGGTGAAGAGCATGGGTCCTGCTGTGCTGTGCCCCTGGGAATCTGGCCAGGCTGATCCCTCAGGTGCAAGAAGCATCTTTGTGATGCCTCCCCTGCTTGCTTGGGCATGGAGTACCTGCTCCAAGCTGTAGTGGGAGCAGTGCTGCAGACAGGGAACGATGCTGCAGATGAAAGGACAACCAGTGCCTCTCCGGCCAGTGCTGGGTGCTCTGGAGCTCCCAGCAG